CCCCCCCTTCAACATTAGTATACTCCCTTTGACAGACATTTATCCAAAATCATTTTTTACCAACTGTATTGGAAAAATTACGACAGCTCATAGTCCCTATTCGTATTATGCGGTATCTTCCTTCTGCACTGTCGATCGCACCTACTGAGCTGCATGTGCAATGTGCAGATGCAGAATATATCACGGCCCGTTAAACGTCTAGATCGGGTACGTCTTGCTTGGCGCACCCACACATACCGTAAGAAGGATGTACAGTTATCTGGCAGTACATGTGTCAAAGAGGAACATGGGATATCTCGTTGTGCTCGATGTTCAACATGGTTTCACATGATCCTTTATACTTGAGCGATAAGAGCATATGTACAGCACGCGGATAGAGAAAAAGTGTATGAGATACAGAAAGAGCGAGAATCTTTCCATTACGCGAAGGCGACGGTTTTACGTTCGTATACTATATCGACGAAAAGTTTCACGAGACGTATGTACCGCTACGTCATATCCATGCGAAAACCGGCTTGGTTTCTTATAATCCCTATGGACCCTGTCGCGCAGTGCTCCTCTAATTTCCTTCTTGCTTCACTTCTCCTTCTTCTCTTTTCAACAATCTTTCTTCGCACTTCGCGCTACCTCTCTTTTTTTTTCATCTTGATGGTCAAGATGTATGCACTGCATATAACAGGAAGCAATATTTTAGAGTTTGCTGGCTCTGGGAAAAGAATGCCCTCTATAAAGCATGGTTACGAGGTGCAATTTCAAGTTTCTCAAAATGCATGCGACCCCGCATTACTAAATATAAGGTATGACGACATCGCGTCGACGCTGGCGTGTAAGAACTGTCAGGTATAATCGTTGCTCTAGGAAAGCGAACGTATGCGCACAGCGTATAGGTGTCTTGTGCAAGATAACCAAAAGCGAGTCCGCAAATCGATCCTCCTCTCTGGGCAGAGAGATAACTCTATGTCGGACAAAGTTCCCTGTGCGAAACCGTCCTAATGTCAGCCGTTTGTCGATTGTTTCGTCCTGACGTGATCTATCGAAGGATCTCGCGAGGATACAGGTTCAGGCGAACCTTGTACCGCACTCAAACAGGATATCAAAATGCGGCCGCACGAGGCCTTCTTGATCCGAGTCCCTACGGCTGAGCTTTCTAAATTCTGCCATTTACATCAGGAGCGCTTCTAGCTTATAGGTACATCCGTACAATATCTGTGAGGTCTTTCGACATTGTCCTAAATGTATTTCGAGGTTATGTCTTCATTCGGCGTGGTATCCCTACTTGAAGATTTACAATGCTCGCATTTTACGATCATTTGCCAATTGGCCGCAGTCAGTTTTTTTTTTATTGGATATATGTACTCGTATAATATACCATGCGCATAAAAGTACCAGTTTTACAATGCCATATAAAATAGGACGCCTATGAGAAAAGCAATGGTCCTGTGGGACAATTGAGAATCCTTGTAAATGCTTTCACTTGGAATGAGTACAGTGGAGATCGGGGCACGGTGAACTATTGTGAAATGGTAGTAGAGAATTATTCTTGGCCGGATTATAGACGCGCACTTTTTATCGACTGAACTTTAATGGAGTGCGTAAAACAGTGGGACGGGAGATATTCGATTGGCGTAAGAAAAGTGTTTCATTTTTTATTTCTCCTTTTACCTTTAACATATTGCACTTTTATCCAACATGAATTTTATACTGTATATATGTACGTGACCGAACGAAACCATGCTATTCTGGATATTCGGTATGCTATGCATTCGATACTCGTAGCAAATGCGACGGTCTTCGGTTATCGGTAGGTGTACCTTGATAGAAATCGATCATCGTCATGAATGCCAAATCAAACATATGATGTCCCCTGAGGTAGAATCTCGAACGGTAACACACCAGACTGTATGCTATTCAATGACAACGTAATTATCGATTATTCGTTAGATACTGTTGAAGTAGTATAACTCGATGCTTGGTTCTCTACTTCCGGTTCAGCCATTATCCAATTGTGGACTGTTATTTCTTAAAGTAAAATTTAATCCCCTAACCGGATTCGCATAGCCAGTTACAGTAGTGCCTTTTGCAATATTATGCATATCGGATTTCTGAATAGTACAAGAGCTGTTTGAGATATCCTTAAAATTGAAGTATTCAATTTAGCGTTATTCTTATTCCTATTGGCAGTACGAATAATCTTTACACAAAATATACAAATTCTCCCATACGTGGATCTCGATGGAGATGATACCATGATGCGTAAGTTCATATTCGTGCAGTGTCCAAGTAGCTTCATGCGAAGATACGATTTGCTAAGTAAGAGGTATGGAAATTACAAGAGCTCTACGCAGCAGCCAGATGAGTTTTGGTAGGACGTCAGAGTAAGGTGGAAAAGGCTAATATCATAAATACCAGCTCTCAAGAAATAGAGCTTATACATATTTATACCAGCATAATCCACCACTCAGTTATTCATATCGGTGTCTGCCTTGAAGCAACGAGAAAGAAGGAGAACAAAATATACAGAGTAAAGCGAAAGACGTTCATTTCCGTTTCTCACTATTTCTAAGATCTCGGTCACGTTATAGGCAAAAAAAGATCGAGGCAAACGTCCAGAAAATTGACCGATAGACGAAGGCGCAACGAGAAATTCACTTGCCGTCATTCACGTTTTTCTGAATTTTCAATCGACTCTCGCTCCTCTCTTAAATTCCTTTGTCCTTCACTGTTACGTGGGAGCAGTATTGAACTCAGGGCTACTGTTATATACGTATACGTACGCCCTGCTATACCGATCTGCAAGAAATCTTCCCGGTCGTGGATACTTTTTCAGAAGGACGCCCAAATGTTCCAGAGTCTCCTGGCGAAACAGGGACGAAGCAGTTACGAATTTCGATTTCACGTCCCAGGCAATACTTGGAAACTCAAGTATTGATAGCGTGAACCTCTACTCAATACTGGTGATCCATGATTGGTCTGTCGAGGCGTGAAATGGTCTTCAGGCAAATTCTTCAGTGCAGTCCAAGGTTTCCCTAGGTGTTTGCGCGAAGCAGTTGTATCGTGCTATTCAAGGGAATTACGTCAGTTCGATAGAATTGTTCGATGAATAATCGAATAAATAACAGCCTGAGAGCCGAGTGCCGATTGCTTTCATGTAACTTCGAGCGCGATGCAAAGCTCTGGCTGCATTGCAGTGTCATGCACAATATGCCTGACGTATGTACATTGTAAATGTCTAGCGCTAACTCCAAACTGGGAACAGAGCTAGCTATAGATATACACATACGTCAAAACGTTTATCTTCCAAAGGTGTTATAAATTCAAAAATTCATTATATAAATCGCTGCAGTATAAAATTCATCCAACGATACGTCACATTTTCAATACTAGGAATTTTATTGTAAATTTTTAGGATATAGCTTTTCGGACAATAAAGAGATTTTACTTAACGG